AGTAGGGGCCATGAAAAATGTGCCACGGACCATGAAATCTGGTCTCTCTTTCCCATCAAGACTGGTCTTTTGTGTTCTTTTACCCTAAGCTACACAGATTTCATTGGGGAGAATAGCATTTCTCAAATTGGGGGTCCTGACGCAAAAGGGAGTCACAAGGTTATTTTAGGGGGATTCCGGTATTGCAACCCTTACTTCTGCACTGCCTTCAGAGCTGGGCGGCCAGAAAGTGGCAGTTGTTCGCCAGGCGCCCAGCTCTCAAGGCAGCACCCCACCAGCTACAGCACAGAAGTAAGGGTGGCAATACCATACCCTGCCATGCTTACTTCTGCATAGCTGCTGGCAACAGCTCTGCCTTCAGAGCTGGGCTCCTGGCCTGCAGCCGCTGCTCTCCAGCCGCCCAGCGGCAGCACAGAAGTAAGGGTAGCAATAACCCTACAATAACCTTGCGACCCCCCACTTAACTCTTTTTGGGATCAGGACCCCTATAATTACAACACCATGAAATTTCAGATTTAAATAGTTGAAATCATGAAATTTAGGATTTTTTAAATCCCCTGACCGTGAAGTTCACCAAAATGGACCGTGCATTTGGTAGAGCCCTCCTTATAGCATGCCCCATACCGTCTCCTGACCTACTTCCTCCTTTCCCACTCCAGCTCCTTTCCCTCACCAACTCCATTTCGGTTTTCACACCCCTAACCCCACACAGGACCTGGTCTCTTGCCCCACAGTCCCTTAGTTTACCCTCCTGGATGCAGTCATCCCTCCTCCTGCCTCCACCTTTCTGAGACACTGGATATAGCCACTTTGTCAGGGCTTTGCAGATAGGAAATGGGGCAAGCAGAGTATGGAGGGGTCTAAGACGTGTACTTTTAAACATCTCCCCTTCTCCCAGCAAAGACAAAAATTATCTGAGCCTCTCAAGGAGAGTAGATAAAGAGCAGAACCACACTACATACTGCCTCAGTTCTCCCCTTCCTCCCCATAAAAATCTGAAAAGTGGGGATAACAACCTGCTTCTTTCACAGGCTGCTGTAGCACTAATTTACTTTTAAGTCTCTGGATGAGAGAAGTGCCAAGTACAACATTCAGGCATTTTGTGTGACATAATGCCCAGCTTTATCATTATGGGCCACATGTCATAATTACAAACTGAGGCTCTCAGCCATGGTTATTCTAGGACTGTTGCTTTCAACAATACATTAAACTACTACATGAGATGGCTGACTCTGCTTTTATACCCACTGAAGTTCTTATCAAACATTATATGTGACCTAATGCAGTAACTGAAATAAATGGAAGCAGGTGACTGCATACTTAGCTATACATTTGACATTAGGATGCGTACATATGACTGTAGCATTAAGTAAGTGATGTAAACATTAATTAGCAATATCTTTGACTACAACATTTGTTTGCAAACTGGGTAAGTTGACTAAAGATTTTTCTGGACTCATTTGAGCATCCGCTATCAAGACTGAACAGTTCGTTTGGGGCTTTGCTCAGTGAAGTTTGTCAAAACAAAAAGCTTAAGTTACAGGGACAATTGTCAGAATCCAAAATGAGGGACAAGACAGCAGCAGAGAAATAAGCTCAACAACATGGGAATGATTTCCTTACAACAAATAAAAAGTGTACAGCCTCAGCTTCATGACTATTACTGTAAATAGTTTACAGCAGAAACAGCAAAAAATATCAGCTTCATGACAAAAGCATTTTCTCTAAAATGGATAGAGATTATTAAGCAGTTTAGGTCAGAGTGTAGGCATTTTCGTTACAATATAGCAGTCAATATTTGAATACATAAAAGGCCTAACATTTTTCACTTTTAGAATTTATCCTCTTCAGTGCCATCTTACTGTTGGCATTGAGAGCATCCACAGGAAAGCTAGTGCACCAGCACATCTCCTTCTCCACATTTGTTTCCTCATCTTTTATGGCCATACACTCACTCAGCACCCCTCCCACCCTCTACTCCAACACCTATTTTCTCTTGGTGCAGCCAGGGAAGGACTATGGGACATGCTAAACCCAGATCTCCGGTGCCAGGGTAGAACGCAGCCTGGATAGCGCAGGCAGAGATACCATGCAGCTCTACCGGCCTCCAGCATCCCCCGCTCCCTGTAGAAAGACCCAGCATCCAGACTGCAGTGCCGCTCCCTGCTGCTTTCCTGTCCACAGCTTCCCCTCCCAGTCCACAGCACTGGGACACTGCCAGGGGCTCCCCAGTTGGGAAAGGATTGGGCACCTCAGTCCATTATTACCTGAGAGAGAAGAAGGTCACTGGCCATAGGCAGGTTTGCAGGAACGCAGCCAGGGAAGAAAGCACTGAGGTTGGATGGACCTCTCCCTGAGCTCTCTGGGCAAGTCGCAGTGCTTCCTTCCTTAGTTGCAACCTAACATATCTGCCTACAACTAGGGTCTATCTTCAAAAAAAAAAAAAAAAAAAAAAAAAAAAAAAAAAAAAAAAAAAAAAAACAAAAAAAAAAAAAAAAAAAAAAAAAAAAAAAAAAAAAAAAAAAAAAAACAGTTGTCTATATGCAGCATGTCAGTTGCTAATGTCTGAATCCCATTAACATTGTAGTCAATCAGATAGGATTGGTTCTCAGGAAAGTGCTGCTGATAACCAAAAGACGCCTTGTCAGGATTGGTAGCATCCCTTGTATTTTGTTCTTGTGACAACTTTCTCTGGTGAGTATTTTTTTTTTAAGTGTTTCTAATAAGCATTTTGAATGCTGTGAAATGTAAGAAGCCCCATTGTAGTTGTTCCTAAAAATTCTGCACCATTCATCTTCATTAAAACTGTTGCTGAACAAGTGTTTTAAACAGTTAACTTGCTTGTTTTTTTAAAGAATCACATGCTATGGAAATATAGCTATTAATTAATACAATAATTACGTTTAAGCTACATGCCTATTGTATACTCTAATAAAGGGGGGGGGGAGGAAAATTGCCAGTCACATTGTAAGAGAAGCTCTGGTATCACACAAAGCTACTCTTGGGTTAGTATGTACATATATGAATTGTGGTCAGGGAACCAGTTGTCCTCATAAATTCAGCAGATATAGCTTACACAGTTATGATTTTTAGCAAAGTCTGAAGGTGTAATGTTATCGACTATTTAGTAGCTAAAACCCCACCCTGTCAAACGGGTGTGCCAGTTGGGCTAAATAGTCCATCATCTATGTAGTCTCCCTACTACAATCAAATTGTTACGTGCAAATTAGCTGTAAAGTCAATATGGTGATTAGTTTAGTTACCCATCTCTGATATCACAATGGTCTAGGACGCTTGAAGCATTGATACTTGAGTACCCCCACACAAGTCAAAATGGCTGATGCTTAAATTCTAGGATAACAAACTTCAAAACCCAGTGAGGATTGTTGAAAATATCACCAGGTTCAAAGAGCCCTGAACCATGCTTATAGCTCTGTCCATCACTTCACACTCACTCAGACTTTACAAGTATCAGAGGGGCAATCCTGGAATCTTATTCCAGATACCTATTGGCCAGAGGCATGGCAGGGCCACCCAGAGGATTCTGGGGCCTGGGGTCTTCGGTGGCGGGGGGCCCCCGCCACTGAATTGCCACCAAAGACCCGGCACTTCGGCGGCGGGTCCCGGGGCGGGAGGACCCCCCCCCCGCCGCGGGTCTTCAGGGCACTTTGGCGGTGGGTCCCGGGGCGGAAGGACCCCCCGCCGCCGAATTGTAGCCAAAGACCCGGAGCAGAAGAAGCTCCGGGGACCTGGGCCCTGTGAGAGTTTTCCGGTCCTTCACCGGAGCGAGTGAAGGACCCCACTCCAGGGGCCCCGAAAAACTCTCATGGGGCCCCCAGCGGGGCCTGGGGAAAATTGCCCCACTTGCCCCTCCCCCCGGGCAGCCCTGAGGCATGGTTGAGTCTCTCCCCAACTCACTATTACAGCAACTTTTTAATTTTAAGCACCAGCAATCTGGTTCCATTTTGGTTTAGGTGGAGCCCATCCTTCCTGTATAAGCTCCCCCTTTCCCAAAAGTTTCCTCAGTTCCTAATAAATCTAGACCCCCTGCTCCCTACACCACCATCTCATCCACACAGTGAGACCCTGCAGTTCTGCCTGTCTAACTGGCCTTGCATGTGGAACTGGAAGCATTTCAGAGAATGCTATCACAGAGACCCTGGACTTCAATCTCTTACCTAGCAGCCTTAATTTGGTCTCCAGGACCTCTCTCTTATCCTTCCCTATGTCATTGGTACCTACATGTACCACAACCACCAACTCCTCCCCAGCACTACACATAAGCCTATCTAGATGACTTGAGAGATCTACAACCTTTGCACCTGGCATGCAAGTCACCATGCACTTCTCCCAGTCATCACATACCCAGCTATCTATGTTTCTAATGATCAAATTGCCCATTACTAATACCCATCTCTTCCTAATAACTGGAGTTCCCTCCCCCAGAGAGGGATGGAAACATTTCCATGGGTTACTAAGCCGCTGGAAGGATACGCAGACAAAGGTGAAGCCCGTACACAAACAAAGCAGGCTGCCCGAGGGCACAGGAATCTGGCTCAGACTGTCACGCTGGGAGCAGGGAGCCCTCTGGAGACACAGCCCTGGGGGCCCATTCCCCAGGACTCGGCCCCCCCCCCCCCCCCCCGATATCTAGTTACCGCAATGACAGCAACCAGACAAGGGGCCAAACCGGGGACACCAGGCCCTAAGTGCCACCCGCTGCCACGGGCCCAGGAGCAGAGGGGCCACCGGGCGGCGCTTCGGCTGCACAGGGCGGCCTTCGCATCCCATCTTGATGCCACTAAGGAGACGCTAACAACACCCTCCGGGGCGCACAGCTGAACCGCACCTCCACCCCGCCAGCTGCGCAGGGGCCTCGGCAGGATCGCGATGGGCACCGGCCCCCGAGCCATCTCCCCGGCTCCCCCAGGCCGACCCCTCCCCACACGAGAAAGGAAACACCTGGGCTCTGGAGCACGGTCCCCCCAGGAGTCACTTACACAACCGCTCGGGAAATCATCCACGACACCATCTTGGCCCAGGCAGCTGCCGCCTCTCGCCACCAACGGCAGCGGGACTCCAGACCCCAGAGCCCGGCACTCCCCCTACTCCTTCCTCCCTGGTCCTGCAGCCCCGCCCACTCCACTCCGAGCCTCGGAACAGGCCACGCCTCTAAGACGTAATTGGTTGCAGCACAAGGTGCTGCCCCTACGCTAGTTGGGTTGCGCAGGCGCTGTGCTCACGTCCGAGGGCCCTTGATATAGCGAGCGCATGCGCCTAGCTCTCTCTGGGCGGGGCTGGGTCTCCTTTGGCTTTAGCCTGCGGAGGTTCCCACCAAGACCGGGGGTAACAGCTCTTCCGCCTGCCTGGCCGGGGTCTGGAACCCCGCACTGTTCAGCGGGCGGCTGGCACCTCGGGTTTGCTCATTTGTCTTTACAGCCCCCAGCACAGAACAGAGCCGGTGGAGGCAGGGCCACGCGGGGGAGGGGATCAGTCTTTCTCCCAGGAACACAGATACAACAGCAGCTGCCTTATAGTCCCAGTGAAGGGGTCCCGGTTGGGGGAGTGGGAGGCAGGTCTAATCAAAGGCTAATAACGGGCATCTCCAGCTACCTGCCTGTGAACTGGCCAAGTGTCACCACAGGGCAAACTTAAAACTGATTTTTTTCAACACCATAAATTACTTCTCCAGCTAGCCAGTTCTAGTGCAAGAAAGGACAGGCTAGTAACGATTTAACTCAGCTATGATGACTCAACCATCGAGTTATAGCATAAACTAGCTAATTCCTCTTTAACACAGTGTTAGACTGAGACATAAAATGCACACACAAGTGAGATTATTTCAGCTTGTCGGGAAGAAGCCTAAAACTATCTGAAGGGCTCCTGTAGTACCAAGGAGCAATTGAGGACATAGATAGGACAAAGGAGCTAAATCACTTCCTTGCATCAGTCTTCAAAGGATAAAGATATCTACTCCACTGTGACCCTTTTTCAGGTAATAAAGAGGAGGTACTGTCACAAAATAAACGTGTCAAAACAGGGAGGGTGCTGGAACAAACTCATGAAACAGCAAAGTCACCAGCTGTTAATCCAAGAGGACTGAAGGCTTTCAAGTGAGCCTAAAATGTAGGCCACTGAGTTTAGCTTTAGTACTAGCAAAGTTGGCTGAAACAGTAAATTATTAAAAAAAAAAAAACTATATGATATGCCCTAACAATTACAGTTCCTGTAAAAGAAAATCGTACCTCCAGTCAACATGCTCAAATAATTGTAGTAATTAAAATAGTGCAGTGGGGTCCAAACTTTTCCTGTTATGCCGCCCCCCCCCCCTTCCCCACAAATGGAATCTGCCCGTCCCCCCCCCCCCTCCATTACTGCACAGCCAAGGCTTCCTCAGCAGAGGAACTTGGGGCAAAACTGGGGATGGGGGAGAAGCTGGGGCTAGAGGTGGAGCTGCCCTGGGGACAGAGAAGGAATGAGGGCAGAGCTGGGACCAGAGATGGGTGTCGCTCCCTTCCCGCCCGCCATGGGGGCTGGCCCCGACCTTCCCACATGCCACCCCAAATGTTCCTCCCACAGTTTGGGGATCACCTAAATAATGGATGAAGAAAAATTGATTGACATTAGGCTTTTCATAAAGCCTTTAACAATATCTTTTTTTAGGGACTATAAGGAATCCAGGAGTACTGGAATGAGATGCAATATACAATCAGATTAGAAACTGACTAAGAAACAAAAGTCATAGGTAGGAGTAAAAGGTAAATTTTTCACCAGGACAAAGGTTAATAGTACAATGCTTCTAGGTACAAAGGGTGGTGTTTATTCATGATGTGGAAAAAGGTGTCAAACAGTGAGGTGACAACATTTGCAGATGACATTTAAGTCAATCAAGACTAGAAAAGACTGAGGAACTTCAGTAAAACGTAATCCTAAATGAAAGGACAGCACAATAGCAGATGGAAGACCAAGGACACAGTAGGCCCATTACTCAATGAGGGGGGGAAATAACAACAGAAAATGTGGAAATGGCTTAATGACTTCTTTGTTTCAGTTTTCACCAAAAAGGTTGGTGGTGGTTGGATGTCTAACACAGTGAATATCAGTTAAAATGAGGAAGGTCCAGAGGCTAAAATAGGAAAAGAACAAGTTAAAAATTACTTACACAAGTTAGATGTCTTCAAGTCACCAGGGCCTGATGAAATGCATCCTAGAATACTCAAGGAGCTGACTGAGGAGATATCTGAGCCCTTAGCAATTATCTTTGAAAAGTCATGGAAGATGTCATGGAAGATTCCAGAAGATTGGAAAAGGACAAATATAGTGCCCATCTATAAAAAGAGAAATAAGGACAACCCGCGAATTACAGACCAGTCAGCTTAACTTCTGTAGCTGGAAAGATAGTGGAGCAAATAATTAAGCAATCAATTTGCAAACATCTAGAAGATAATAAGGTGATCAGTAACAGTCATCATGGCTTTGCCAAGAACAAATAGTGTCAAACCAACCTGATAGCTTTCTTTGACAGGGTAACAAGCCTTGTGGATAGGGGGGAAGTGGTAGATGTGGTATATCTTCATTTTAGTAAAGCTTTTTATACTGTCTCACATGATCATCTCATAAACCAACTAGGGAAATGCATCCTAGATGGAGCTACTATAAGGTGAGGGCAAAACTGGTTGGAAAACCATTCCCAGAGAGTAGTTATCAGTGGTTCACAGTCATGCTGGAAGGACATAACGAGTGGGGTCCCGCAGGGATCAGTTCTGGGTCGGGTTCTGTTCAATATTTTCATCAATGATTTAGATAATGGTATAGAGGATATACTTATAAAGTTTGCGGACAAAAACCAAGTTGGGAGGGGTTGCTTTGGAGGATAGGATTAAAATTCAAAATGATCTGGACAAACCGGAGAAATGGTCTGAAGTAAATAGGATGAAATTCAATAAGGACAAACGCAAAGTACTCCACTTAGGAAGGAACAATCAGTTGCGCACATACGAAATGGGAAATGACTACCTAAGAAGGAATACTGCGGAAAGGGATCTGGGGGTCATAGTGGACTATAAGCTAAATATGAATCAACAGTGTAACACTTGCAAAAAAAGCAAACATCATTCTGGGATGTATTAGCAGGAGTGTAAGCAAGACAGGAGAAGTAATTCTTCCGCTCTACTCCGCACTGATTAGGCCTCAACTGGAATATTGTGTCCAGTTCTGAGCGCCACATTTCAGGAAAGATGTGAACAAATTGGAGAAAGTCCAGAGAAGAGCAACAAAAATGATTAAAGGTCTAGAAAACATGACCAATGAGTGAAGATTGCAATCCATCCCATCATCCAGATCACTAATGAAGATGTTGAACAAAACTTGCCCCAGGATGGACCTGGGCACTCCGCTTGTATTGAGGCTGACCACAAGTTACCTTGGACTGATGTTATAGAATGGTTTGGGGGGAGCTAGTAGTGAACTGGCTTTGACTGGATAAATAAGCAAAGAGATAAGCAAGCCCCAGGGCTGTGAAGTGTGGGAATAAAAAACAGCATTGTTTCCTGCCAGAGCCTGCTTGTGGGTGAATACGCCCCCCCGTTAGAAGGAGATGATGATTAAAAACGGCTATGCGAATTGCTTTAGATGAACAATCTCATCTGCGGACCCTGGCCTTGCGGGTGACCAGGAATTCCCCACACTGGAGCAGTGCCTGCTACGAGCCCGCAGGGACAAGGCTGGAGGGTCTGGGACTGCCCGTAGCAGAAGAAGCGTAAGCATTGATTTTTGCTTGCTTGCTTGCTTGAAAGCACGTATTTAGTAACGTGTGAAGGCTGGGAAGCTTATTATACTTTTGCAATAAAACCGGTTATACTTATGCACCTGGTGTGGCTTCATTGAGGTGTATCCAAGCCCCCTCCCCTTTGGCTCGACAGCTTGATACTGGCTGCCAACTAGACATCAAGCCGTTGATCACTACCCGTTGAGCCCAACGATCTAGCCAGCTTTCTATCCACCATATAGTCTATTCATCCAATCCATACTTCTTTAACTTGGTGTCAAGAATACTGTGGGAGACCGTATCAAAAGCTTTGCTAAAATCAAGGTATATCATGTCCACCACTTTCCCCATATCCACAGAGCCAGTTAGCTCATCATAGAAGGCAATCAGGTTGGTCAGGCATGATTTGCCCTTGGTGAATCCATGTTGACTGTTCCTGATCACCTTCCTCTCCTCCAAGTGCTTCAAAATGGATTCTTTGAGGACCTGCTCCACAATTTTTCCAGAGACTGAGGTAAGGACTTTGGGATTAAAAACTATGGTGGTTACAGAATAAAAGGTCAATTTAAACTGTAACTCAGGATTGCAAGGGATAACTTGCACAAAAAGGGGGATAGAGGAATGTGGTTGTTGCATCATTTAACATACTGCCTCTGAAACTAATTTTTTTAAACGGTCTTACCCAGATAGGATTCTTCTAGAAACATGCATGAAATGAAAGCAGCAATCTAGCCCTTCATTTATACACACTTCAAATAAGGAAACATCTCCAGTGTTGCAGTTAACAAGGCTGACTTCAACAGTGAAGTTTCAAGATATAAGAAGTTATGGGAAGATTAAAATTTAGGCTCCAGTTCTGTAAGCTGTTCTGTGCAAGCAGAGCCTTGTGCCCCCATTTGCTTCAATGGAGTTCTGTAGGATTCTGCATCACCCAGTGTATAATGCAGGATTGGGGGCTTAAGTTCCCAGCACTTATGTTGAACTAATATACAATATCACTCCTTACTGCAAGCAAGGTATTTGATAACATCTCACAAATATCCCTCCCCAAAAGAGTTAAACATTATTGTACTTACTGTTAGATGTAACTATATTCAGTGATTCCGTAGGTTGCATACTACATTTTATTTCATACAATCACTGTGTGCTTAAGAGGGAAAACTATTCTTTAACAAAAGGACTACCCCCCCACCACCACCCATAACCTTTTCTGCAGAAAAGGATTTATTTTGCATTTGTTCCCATGGAAACACTGTCCCTAGTGGAAAGCAGAATTTACATTTAAAGACATTTTTAAAGGTAAAGGCAGATCACAGTTAAATGTAATT